AAAATTAGCTTTCCAACAATTTGAACCACGCGTCATTTGGACACTCACAACTCGAGTTATGAATTTTCTAAGTTTTACAAGAGATGTAAACACTGACATCCTACACTGACATCCAAAACGCCTCATTACTAACTAATTAAATTCGTTTTTAGAATATGAAACCATTTTTATGAGGAAGTACACTTTATTAACTTTCTGTAGCCTCAAACGGACACCCGAGTCAAAAGATATGAATTTTTAGTTTTATAATTTTTCAGGATTTCGCTCAAGAATTCGATTACCCAAAATGGTAAATCGATTTCCCCAATGTAACATAGCCATTTTTCCAAATTTCACTGAGGAAATCGATCTCCAACAGTCTAGTAGCCAAAAATCAGTGTTTTCGTTCAGGAAATCGATTACGCCAAAATGGAAATTGATTTTCACGCCTTGGCAGTTAAAAATTCTGCAACTTTTTCTACTACGAGAATTCAACCTTTATCCCAAAAAATCAGTTTTGAAAACACACTAAAACATACAAATTCTTACAATTCTCAATCCACAACATACACAATAATTCTAATCAAAATATCACTTAGATCCAAACATACAAAGAGTCAATTTCATGAACAGACACACATAAAACAGCCACAACAATCAATATCCCCCATACCTATTATTATATTATCCCTTAGAAAGTTGGAACCTCACCCTTACCTTGAGTTGAAGGTTCTCTAAGCTCCAACAATAACTTTTCTCTTGCCTTAGCTGCTTTTCTCAAAAGCGATATTTCTTTGTTCTCTCACTTCTACGATGAATAAACCAAAAACACTTTTGTTTTCCTTTACTTAGACTTATCTAACCCTTTGACCCCTAATGTCATTATTCCCATTATGCTCTTCCTTCCTCTTACTATTAAAATAATTATTTAATTAAATAAAAATAATAATTATTCTATTATTCTACTAATAGTAATAATAAAATAATTATTAGCATTCTCACCACACTCTCATATTTTTCTGGTTTCGGTCATACACCCTTAATACCTTAATTTCAGAATAACTAAGGTAAAAACCTTTCTTTAGAGTACAACAATACATAATATCGTTCATCATAACACACCAGAAAATACCACATCGCGTAATTATTTTAATTAAAATAATTTAAATCGAAAATGGAATATTACATTATGACCATATTATTGAATCAATTTCAAAGTTTAAAGTTAAGGTGTGTGGATGAAGGGTTGGTTAAAAATCCATTAATAAATATGATCTTGTTGTTCTAAGATAAGACACGATGATATATTTGCTTCATTTGTAGTAGTTGGAATCATCCAAGGTTAACAAACTATCAAACTAATTTAACTTCAACTCTCCTAGTCACCTATTTTTTTCTTTAGCAAGATACACATTCTTAAAGCCCAAACATTGACGACTAAACAGCACATAGAGGCAGACACTAGTGACCTATCTGATTTTGTCTGTAAACAAAGTTATGAAAGTATTGAAGTAAAAAGAGAAAAAGAAGATCCGAATATCCTAATAATATTATTTAAGAAAAAAAGAGTAGATGATGAAATGAATTGAGAGGTAGATAAGTTGGAAAGAAGATAGATAGCAAGAAGCATAGGCTGAGATTTTCCACAGCCTCTACACCTCACACCACCAACCATTCCTTTTTCTTTCCTATATTCTCTCCATCCATCTATCCATCACTCAAAAAACACTTCATTCTCTCTATCATGGCTTCTTCTTCTTCTCTGCATCTCTCTCAAGCACTCCTCGCACGTGCCGTTTTTCTCAACTCCGACCGCACCTCCCTCTCCTCCACTTCCTCCCTCTCCTTCCCCTCTCTCAAACCCAAACCACTTACCTCCTCTTCAACTGCTTCGCGTCGCAGAACTACCGTCCGTGCAACCGCTGTTGAAACACTCGACAAAACCGCTGAAGTTTCCCTGGTTGAGAAATCGGTTAACACTATTCGCTTTCTCGCTATTGATGCTGTTGAAAAAGCCAATTCGGGTCACCCGGGTTTGCCCATGGGTTGTGCTCCAATGGGGCATATTCTGTATGATGAAATTATGAGATATAATCCCAACAATCCTTCTTGGTTTAACCGTGATCGCTTTGTTTTGTCTGCTGGACATGGTTGTATGCTTCAGTATGCTCTTCTTCATCTTGCCGGCTATCACAGTGTCAAGGTTACTTTTCTCTTTCACCTCAATCTTTGCTTCAATTCATATACTTGTTGCTTGACCTTGCTTTCGATGGACTAATAGGAAGAAGACTTGAAGCAGTTTCGACAATGGGGAAGTAAAACTCCTGGACATCCTGAGAATTTTGAGACTTATGGAATTGAAGTCACCACAGGTCTTACAATAAATCTTGTCTCTCTTTTCTTTACGTTACCGCCACTCTTTTTTGCCAATTTCAAATATCCTTGTATTTTTGTTGTTTAGGTCCTCTGGGTCAGGGTATTGCCAACGGTGTTGGTTTAGCACTTGCTGAGAAACATTTGGCTGCACGGTTTAACAAGCCTGACAGTGAGATTGTTGACCACTACACGTGAGATAACTAATTACATCGTCTACTTTCCTTGCACTTGTCAATTGGTAACGGCATTTATATTTTGTTTGTTTTTGTTTTTGGTCGGCTCTAGGTATGTTATATTGGGTGATGGTTGTCAAATGGAAGGAATTTCAAATGAAGCATGCTCACTTGCTGGACATTGGGGTCTTGGGAAACTTATCGCACTTTATGATGATAACCACATTTCAATTGACGGTGACACTGAAATCGCATTCACTGAGAATGTTGATCAACGTTTCGAGGCACTTGGATGGCATGTGATTTGGGTAAAGAACGGAAATACCGGGTATGATGAAATTCGTGCAGCCATTAAGGAAGCAAAGGCTGTCACAGACAAACCTACTTTGATTAAGGTTAGTGACATGAAATGGAGATTCAAGTAAGTGGATTTATTCAATCCGTCATATATATACGAACTGATTATACTAGTTGAAGTGACGTAGTGTGATTGCTGTGGGTGAAAATAAGCCTCCTTTTTTTTCTTAGGTGTTGTTTTATCGGTTTTGTTTGGCTTTGAGGCTGGTCATATGGTAATATTTCATTCATTTTGATTACTATTTCGCAGGTAACCACTACCATTGGATTTGGTTCTCCAAACAAGGCTAATTCCTACAGTGTTCACGGAGCCGCATTGGGTTCTAAAGAAGTGGACGCTACAAGGCAGAACCTTGGATGGCCATATGAGCCTTTCCATGTCCCAGAAGATGTTAAAAAGTATGAATGGGTGTATTAGTTATATCTTTGGTTTACTGATATTTTCATGATCTTGAGTGTAACTTGCTTAACATTCCCTAGGCATTGGAGTCGCCATACCCCTGAGGGTGCTGCACTTGAAGCTGAGTGGAATGCTAAGTTTGCTGAGTATGAGAAGAAATACAAAGAGGAAGCTGCAGAGCTAAAGGCTATTATTAATCGTGAATTACCTGCTGATTGGGAGAAAGCACTTCCAGTAAGTAAATTGTCACACTTCTTGGTTTCTTTTGATTATGGCGAATAAAATCTTTCATCAACCATTTGTGGAATGTTGATCATACTTCCAATTTGATTTCAACTTTCAGACGTACACTCCAGAAACCCCTGCCGATGCTACAAGAAATTTGTCGCAAGCAAATCTAAATGCCCTGGCTAAGGTTCTTCCTGGTCTTATTGGTGGTAGTGCAGATCTTGCCTCTTCCAACATGACCTTGTTGAAATCGTTTGGAGATTTCCAAAAGGCTACTCCAGAAGAGCGCAATGTTCGGTTTGGTGTTAGGGAACACGCAATGGGAGCAATCTGCAATGGTATTGCTCTTCATAGCCCTGGATTTATTCCATACTGTGCAACTTTCTTTGTCTTCACTGACTACATGAGAGCTGCCATAAGGATTTCCGCCTTGTGTGAAGCTGGAGTTATTTATGTTATGACCCATGATTCAATTGGACTCGGAGAGGACGGACCAACTCATCAGCCAATAGAGCACCTGGCAAGCTTCCGGGCAATGCCAAATGTTTTGATGCTTCGTCCAGCTGATGGTAATGAAACTGCTGGATCATACAGAGTTGCCGTGCTTAACCCGAAGAGACCCTCAATTCTTGCCCTTTCTCGGCAAAAGTTGCCCAACCTTGCGGGAACTTCTATTGAAGGAGTAGAAAAGGGAGGTTACACCATTTCAGACAACTCATCAGGTAACAAACCTGATGTTATCTTGATTGGAACTGGTTCTGAGTTGGAAATTGCTGCGGCTGCCGCCGACGATCTAAGGAAAGAAGGAAAAACTGTAAGAGTTGTTTCTTTTGTTAGTTGGGAACTTTTTGATGATCAGTCAGATGAATACAAGGAGAGTGTTCTCCCTGCTTCTGTTACTGCAAGAGTCAGCATTGAGGCAGGATCAACTTTCGGTTGGCACAAGATTGTAGGAAGCAAGGGAAAAACCATAGGTATTGATCGGTTCGGAGCAAGTGCTCCAGCAGGAAAAATATACAAGGAGTTCGGTATAACCAAGGAAGCCGTTATTTCTGCCGCCAAGGAAGTTTCATAGATCAATTGATGTTCTGTTTCTCGAGATATTAAGATTTGTATTACTACTACGAGAGTTGTTTCTTGAGATATCATTTTAACCGCAATAAGAACGAATTGGTTGCTCTCGCATATGATTCTCAAAAGAGCAACATAGATCAAATGATGAGATGAATTAAGGAAGTTGTATGAATTTGTAAAAACTATTTTGGCTTGTGAATTACAACACTGTGATGTAGTTGAATTCAGTGATTCTCACTTTTCTATCTCTGCACTAATTTGGCTACTATGAACTATTATATCTTTCTCAAAACAAATCTCTAGAAGATCTAGTCTAAAATAACACAACCCGATGATTCGATTTACGAGCTGATTAAATCACAAATATATTATGAAGCCTGTTATGAATTATGACAATGTATCAAAAATCAAGTTCAAGGATTTCCCTTGTTTGTTTTCAACCTTTGTAAAAGGTGAGCATACACTAATTCATTCCACAAGTCAGGAACACCAGGAAGACACCAATGGCTACAATCCTGATGTGTGAGCGTAAATCTTTTCGTCTCCTCAGTCATATTGGTGTATCTGAACATGGAAGGGTGAGCATCAAGTCTGTAATCTGTCATTCTCGTGATGTTCAGGTAAAACACCGGAGTCGTCATTCCTGTAATTACTGATTCAATAGTCTTCATCATTTCTGAAGGATTTTCTGGTAAATCAGATTCATCTTTCAATGGCTCTGTAATATTCTCACACTGACCACCAGAATTCCATTCCCCATCCCTGTAGCAGAATCAAAGAGGATTGGTTATACAGTATCCTAAATCCAAAACTTAAACAAGTTAAATGTTTATTTTATTTTTTTTACCTGAAATGAGAAGGTGAATAGCCTCTAAAGAAAACTGTAGTTTTCTTAGGATCAACATGAGTATCCACCCAATGTGCCCATGTCAATAAAGCTTTATTAATTGCATCTTCAACATTCATTTGTCCATATACATGATTTCCTTCTTGATAATATTCCTTCCTGCAATTCTCTCAAAAAAGTTTCCATCTTAATTTTACTTATTCCGGCCGATAAATCTACTAAAGTGATTTTCATTTGCAGGTAAGGGAAAAAAGAAGAAGAAGAAGAAAGCATTACCCTTCCTTTACTTTCTCATGAGTCCACCAATGACCTGTGTTGAAGATCAAAACATCAGCATTTTTGTACTTATCATAATAGTTCTCAACCAAATCAAGACGAAGTGTCTCTTTTTTCGATCCTTTCTGGGTTGGAATCTCCCACTCTTGAACAAGAAACGGTGAACGGAAGAACTCAATGGAACAATTGTAATCCTGTTCAACGGTTAACAGAAAAGAACAATTTCAGTCTCGAATTTGATCACTGTCATTTTGCTAGTTCAATGAAATGGAATAACATATGACAGACATACTTGGAAGATAAACGAGTAAGAATCCTCTGTTCGAAACTCTTGTCTACCAGAGGCTTCGAAAATCCTGCTCTTATTTTCAACTGAATTACTAAGAACACACACCATAGATTCCCACATGTTCCTATTGAGGGAATCACCAACAAAAACTAAACGTTTTCCCCTCAGTAACTCCAACATGTCGCTACCATTGAACCTGCAGAACATGTACATGCTCGTATCAGTAAAACGGAACCAAAATGTACAAGCAAAACAAACACAGCTCATCTCTCTCAAACAAAGAGAGGGAGAGACAGAGAGAGAAATACCTTGGCATGTTGCAATTCTTAGGCTGCCATCTGAACTTTTCGAACATATTATCAGTTCTACCATTGAGAAAGCAGTCAAAAGGCTCATCAATATTAGGACAAGACCCGGCTTTGTAAAGTGGATATGAATCATCAAAAACCCATGTCCCTTCATACATATTACAACTCTTTGTTAAGTCCACCAAATGTTGTTGATCACTTTGCACCACATTTGGTGAAGGCCTAGGTGCAAAAGGCTTCTCTTGTTGTGGTTTAATCGTAGCACCAATCGGTGGATGCGCCTTACGATGTTTTTTATGTCGCTTTGGTGCCAAACCAGAACCTTCTTTTCTAGAAATTTGAGATGAAGACGGAGAATTTACAGTCCTATGATCCACTAATCCATCATGTTTTCTAGAAGTTTGAGATGGAGAAGGAGAAGCTACAATCCTATGATCAACTAACCCACCATTCTCTTTTCTAGAAATTTGAGATGGAGAAGGAGAACCTACAATCCTATGATTCACTAATCCATCATGTTCTTTTCTAGAAGTTTGAGATGGAGAAGGAGAAGCTACAATCCTATGATCCACCAATCCATTATCTTCTTTTCTAGAAATTTGAGATGGAGAAGGAGAAGCTGCAATCCTATGATCCACTAATTCATCATCTTTATGAGAAGTTTTATCATGAGTAGGGCTATAATGAGGTGGATGAGAAGGAGGTTCTGAAGAATTAGAGGTGAAAATGTGAGTCATAACTTTTGTAAAATGATATCTACGAGAAGAAGGGTGAAAAGTATTTACAAGGACAAGCATGAATAAAATAGAAGCAAAAGTGAAAGCATAAGTAAAAGTTATAACTCCTCCTCTTGAAGGAAAGATGCGAACTGAGTCGGTTCTTGCCAACAAACGCTTCCTTGCAGGAGAATCCACCATTATTAACAATTAATTTCTTCTACTTTTTATTTACATGGTAATAATATTAAGTATTATTTACAAGAAGAGATGATAGCCAGAGGGAGAGGAAAAGAAAATGCATGCATGATGCATGGGAGAGATGATGATGGTTGAAGTTGAAATGCTATTTTTGGTATGAAGTTGGGAATGAGAGAAGAAAAAGGAGGGAACGGAAGATTTTATGTATAAGCCGTTTTTGTAGTATCGTTTGTATGCACATCAGCACATCTAGTACCCCACAAATCTAGGTGCATATCATTGCCAAACACTTTTCTCATTTGTTTACAAGTTACAATAACAAATATGGTCCAAACACAACTTTTTTTTATTATCATTTCCCATAAAACTTAAGGAGACAAACTGCCACCATAGAATCCATTATACTCGAACACAAAATATTGACACGTATTCTTTTATATATAAAGTTTTCCTTTCTATTTTTTTCTTCATTTATTTTTTATTTTTAAAATATACTCAATAACATTTATGGGCCTAAGGGGCTATGTTACATCACTAGAGTCCCCTTGGGGTCATAGATTACTATAGCCCCTAGAGTTTCCTCGGGAGCGGGAGCCCAAGTACCCGGATCACCCTTTAAAGTTCTTTTGACAGTAACTCGTAAGAGATTTAGTCCTTCAACGATAATAGAAGCAGTGGGACAGAACCTTTTATAGCCTAGTCCACAACTTAGTTGTAGGCCCTGAGCACATCTTGCATAGTTCGTTGAAGAGAATCCTGGAACGTCCCCCTCAGGTCGACAAGGGCCTTCAAAGCCTCAGCATGGGCCTCAGCCTCCTGTTGAAGAGTTTGTCGACACTTCTCCGACTTGAGGCTCATTTTCATAACATCATCAGAACCTTCTTAATGTTGTTTCTTCTCCGCCTCAAGAGTAGTCTCAAGCTAAATTATTCAGTCAACCAGAATAGAGAGAGAATCATGGATCTTCATCTCTTCTTGTAGAGAGTCAACATGCTTGGCCTTCTCCTTTCACTCGACCACCTCATTCTGAAAAGCGAAACACTTCTTCTCCATAACTTCACATTTACCCTTCCAAGTGTCTTTCTCCTTAGAGAGATTGTCTGCAGCCAAGACATCTTCCTTGCCAGCAGAAGCTAAGGAGGACAGAGAAGATAATTGGTACGTGTTGTAAGTGATATAAGAATGGAGATACATCTTCTCCATCTCATAGCGGTTTTGGACGAAGGATAGATCCCCTGCCGATACAACAACAACATATTTCTTAGGAGTGTGCGCAAGCTGGGAAGGAAGGATGTCATGCATCCCCAAGAAATAAGTCATCTCCCCCGATGAATAAAAATAAAAATAATAATAATAATAATAATAATAATAATAATAATAATAATAATAATAATAATAATAATAATAATAATAATAATAATAATAATAATAATAATAATAATAATAATAATAATAATAATAATAATAATAATAATAATAATAATAATAATAACTAAATAATAATAACAAGAAAAAGAAAAGAAATTGTTAGTAAATAAAAAATTGTAAATAATAAAAACCTAAAATTGAATCAAATGGGATAATAATAAAAAAGATTTTGGTTTTAATTAATAATTCAATTTAAGAGGATATTTCAAATTGAATTAAAACTAAAGACCAAATCAAAGTTAAAATTGAAAAAAGAAATAAATCACAATGACTAATTAAATGACCAAATTGAATTTTTATCAGAAATTCAATTAAAATCGAATATGGTTATAACCTGAAATTTAAATTGATCTTAAAGATAAAATATCAAAGTTAATTAGACGGTTGAATCAATGAGGCTTAAGAGAATCATGTCTAAAACTATATGTCATATCTTGAGGAAAACCTTGAAGAAGGTAGAACTTGAGATTCAGAGATAAAGCTGATATTTAGGATTCACAAGATTCCCTGTCGAAGTACTTTGAAGACACCCTAACCAATAATCTTGAGTTGAAGCACAACAAATGAGAAACCCTGACTCTGATCAAACATAGAGAAATAAATCCTAATAGTCTTGTAGCTTGAGGATAAGGACATTCAGGATAACCATACTCAAAATCCCTAATTACACCTTTCATTGTTTGGTGAAGAATTAGAAGAATCAAACTTTATTGGATATATACACCTCCACCACTGTAAAAACTCTAATATTGCACAACCACTGAACTTTGAACTTCGAGTGCTTTATTGAATGAAATGCATGCTATGTTAATGACATAATGAAAAGATGCAAATGAATGCGAAGTCTAAACCAGATAAAAGAAAATTATGAGGGCAAACTTTGGAGTGTAACACCAACAAACCACATTAGCATAAGACCACCAGATCTGCCAGCACCATTCGTGACGCAATTAATAACCTAGTTAATAACCTGTAAGTTATGCAGAAAAGTACTAAACTTGTGGTAGATTTTATTAAAGGATTGTATGTAAGGACAACTTAGCTTCAGAAATGAACGCAGTGACTAGGTGATGAGAGGACAAAAACTTCTTTAAAAAGAGAGAAACTTGAAGGGTTGACATATGAGATATACTAGAAGGGTCGCACCAGATCCTTGCCAGTCCCGAAATCAACGATGGCTTATGTATATGTTTATTCCATAAGAACTTACCCAAAATAACATTTTTGTTTTCCTTGAACATTTCTAGGACATCGTCTTCGTCCCATACACCAAATTTTGCATCCTCTAGTTAATCCTGATTAATATTAATGTTATGCTCTTGTGATATTGACTGTTGCTTTTTTATTGATTTTGTTGATTTCCTCATTGATAATTATGTTTTTAGGTATGAGAAGGGTTGAAGTGTATGATTCATTACCTAGTTTTATACAAGAACTTGGGCGTTTTCTTCTGTCCAAGATTTTGGACTTATCCATGAAGATCGCACCTGAGGCAAAAAAGCAAGATATGCAAACGACAACTCTGAAGGAGACAAGAAGTGGCAACAAAGAAAGGATAACAGGAGGACAAAAACAAAGAAAATAAGAAATTCAAGCAAATCCGAATTAGGAAAATCAACTCCAAAAAGAAAAGAAAACTGTTTCGCTTTGTTCAAAACTGAAAGTCATAGAACACCAAACTCTAGCCACAACAACATAGACTTGTAAGCCAATTCACAAAGAAGAACCACTGCATTCACATTGAACCGTCGTGGTTGATACCAATCCTCAAAGAATGACGAAAATAGGCTCTCACAATATAATTTAGTGAAAAAAATTTATTTTTAATTCTCCAAGAATGATTCTTTATTTCAATAGTTCATTTAATACTTTAAATTATCTTTATTGTACAAAACAAATAGAACAAATTATTTTTTATTTATTAAATCAACACAATTAATAATTATATAAAAACATTTCATTACATTGACATAAATTTGATTCTATGAATTTCTATTTAATTATATAAATGATAAAAAAATTTCCCTTTAAATTAGAAAATATGAGCCACATATCTAAAGTGTCCTAGTTAATTATATCTCTTATCAACAACATTTAATATAAAATACACATGGTGATATTTTCTTGAAGAATAATGCTATTTAAAATCTTTACGATGGACATCTTATACCATCAAGTAAACAATTTGATCAAATCAATTTTTGAACACACCCCGTGATAGAAAAAAAATACTAAAAAAAACATAATAATTTTATACTGATGCTTGTTTATTCGTTATTTCTCTATCTTCAATTAATGTTGTTATAATCTCTCATTTTTTGTGCTAGGACTGTCCATGCAAAATTTTGTTTTATCTTTAATCAGAGCTCTCGCTAGTGAATAGTTAGATTAGTCCCTCTTAAATTACCCGGTCGCAAAGCTTTCCAAAAAATAAAATAAAATGTTTTTTTAATTATCATTTCTATATTTTCTCGAAAATATATGACAAACCATTGCATTAAATTTCATAATCTACATGTTAATATCAGCAATGATAGGACTAAAGGAAATTATGCATTATCAGAAAGGGTAACATAAACAAAAAGTACACAATATCTCCTCAGATAATTATTCTATTAAGAAAAGAAACAAGAGAACATCATGGAGGAATATGGTGTTGTAAAACTCAGGAATTGGGTAATAGCATCCACGAAGGTTTTGCAACTGCTAGAACGCAATCCACTAGATAGAGGTTTCATAATTAAGAGAGACCAATGACTTTTCCGGTTGTTGTGTCGATATCAATGTCATAGAAGCATGGTCTTGTTGGCAAGCCAGGCATGGTACTCATTGTTCCAACTAAAGGATAAATAAATCCAGCTCCAATACTAGCTCTTACATCTCTTATTGGTAAGACAAAACCAGTTGGAGCTCCCTTAGCTGCTGCATTGTCTGAGAATGAATACTGAGTCTTAGCCATACAGATTGGAAGCCCTGAAAATCCTTGCTTGGTATACATCTCAATCTTCTTCTCGGCCTGGTTAGACATTGAGAATCCCAATCAGGTAGTTAAAAATACATCGATATGTGATCCACTAACAATTCACAAATAATTTTAGTTATAATTTTCAGGGGTTAAAGTAAATTGACATAACCAAACAAGATAAGATCACCTGCTCTGAGTAGTCAACGCCACTGGCTCCATATGACTTTGCTATTGCTTCTATCTTCTCTTTTATACCTATATCCAAAGGATATAAGAACTTTAATGGCTGTGTCGCATTCTCACAAGCTTTTTGAACTGCAATGCCCAGGTCCACCTAGATCATGACAAGACATGCCTCAGCAAATGATAGAACCAAGACTTGCAAAGTTACCAACAGAAAGATAATAGGACTTGCATCTATCCTATTTATGCATGTATATGAACTTAATTTTGCTCAAGATCTAAAGTTTAAACCACATGATGGATAAGTTTGTGTCACCATCAGCACTATTAGGATCTTTGATCCAACACAAATTAAAAATTAGGAGGGTACAACTGGCTAGGGATTAAAATTAAGTTTCTGTCAAGAAAATAATGAAGAAAGCTCAAAACTAAATTTTATATCTGAATATGATAAGCCACAACTTAATTATAGTGATCTATTCAGTCTTATATTTCTCTATGTTCTTCAGTGGCCTTACTAATATTATTATAACTCAATTTCCTATAATTTTGTGTCAAAAATATGCAAAGACATGTGAAGCACGAACTTACTGCTCCTTTGCCACCATGGGCATGATGGCTACATACTACAGCATCAAAAGCTCCGGCATCTAAGGCAGCTTTTCTAACCGCATTTAGCTCAGCTTCAGTGTCGGTTGAAAACTTGTTGATGGCAACTATAACATTTGAACCATAAAGTTTTGAATTTATTATATGCCTTGCCAAATTCACACAACCAGCCTCAACCAAAGCAACATTTTCATTCAGATATGCATGATCAAGAGGTCTTCCAGCAACAACTGCAGGCCCTCCACCATGCATTTTTAGAGCCCTTATTGTTGCAACGATAATTGCACATTGAGGTGACAAACCACTATATCGACACTTAATGTTCATGAACTTTTCAGTTCCAATATCAGACCCAAAACCAGCTTCAGTAACTACAAATCCACCTGGTCCAACCAACTTTAGTGCAATTTTATCAGCCACAATAGAAGAATTTCCATGAGCAATATTTGCAAATGGACCTGCATGAACAAAAACAGGTGTTCCTTCCAAAGTTTGCATAAGAGTAGGGTTAATGGTATCCTTCATTAGAACAGTTAAAGCACCTCCAACACCTAGATCATCAGCAGTTACAGGGTCACCACTCTTGCTATTTCCAATAACCATTTTCCCTAGCCTCTCGCGCATATCAGCTAGGGAAGTTGTCAATGCCAAAACAGCCATTATCTCACTAGCAACAGAAATATCAAATGCTGTTTCTCTTACCATTCCTTTCTCATCAGGTCCCTGACCAACAGAAATTTTCCTTAAGAAGCGGTCATTGATGTCCATTACTCTCCTCCATGTAATAGAATCAGGGTCAATATCAAGTCTAGCAAATTTAGTTACTTCTTCTGGTGTAAGATCATCTGGATTAGTCTTTGAAATGGCCAGCTTGTTGAGACGCCTAAACATGACATCATTAAAACTCCTTTTTCCTTCTTTATTTGCAGGGCATAACCGGTTGAAAAGAGCTTTATCTGATTGTGTTGATTCATGGAAAATCCGGGCATCAATTGCAGCAGCTAGAAGATTGTTAGCTGCAGTTATTGCATGGATATCTCCTGTTAGATGAAGATTGAATTCATCCATGGGAATCACTTGGCTATAACCACCACCAGCTGCACCTCCTTTGATTCCAAAAGTAGGACCTTGTGAC